AAATCATTTCATTTCAGCAAAACTTTTACCGATGAATAGTGTTATCGTCCCTAAATGTTTAACTTTTTGCCCATGCCAACTTGTCGTCGCCAAAAGTAAGTACACTAATAGCGACGCTTATTGTGTTGCTAAAAAATAAGTTTCGTAGCTAAAATTTTTGAAATTTTGGCCCCTAGTAAATATTATTTTTTTTAGCGACGGTCTACTTTTACCAACGAAATTGATCATTATGTCGCCAAAAATATAGTTTTGGCTATGAAAAATTGACGTCGTCGCCAAAAGTAGTAGCCAAAAGTGCAATTTCTTATAGTGTTCTAAGGATAACTTTTATCTTTATTTTTTTTAAGAGCAAGGAAAATGATTGGCAAATAAAATTAATAGGTAGCCAAACAAAAACTCTTCATTTTCTTCTCAAATATTTAACCCAACAAAAATAATAAATAAATAAATCTAATTTCCTCCACTTTATTTTCATTTTCATTTTTTTTCTTTTTCTTTTTTTTTAATTTTCTCTAAAAATTTTAAATTCCAAACATAACATAGGAGGTAGGGAAAAAAAATGGTAAGTAGCTACATCATCAAAAAGTACCCCTGGAGGTTATAGTTGGAACCCACGCAGCCAAAATGTTGGCAAAAGACTCTCATGCTACTTAATAATGGTTATTAGTCACAATATACAATTATATATCTGAAAAATATTTAAAATACATTAAAATATTTATAGATATGTGAAAACTGCATTGAGAAGACAAATGTGAGCAGTTGTTAGCATGATTCATAAGCCATTAACCCAATATGGTTTGCAAGAAGTTGAATGGGTTCTTCTTATAATAAAAGACAAATCAAATGCAAATCCATTTAGAGAGTGGAATAATATGAACTTTTCTTAAGTGTGCAACTTACACCTTACACTTACGTCTTTCTATTTGCTGTCCTGTTTTATGTTTATACCTTCCACTTACACCTTTTGTGTTGGTTGCATATGGTGTGCAACCTTAAGGGGTTGCACACCATAACAGCACCCTAATATGATTATTAAAAACATAATGTGAATGTAAATCAAATATGAACGAAAACAACCCCCCCAAAACAAAAAAAAAAAGAACGAAAACAAGCATTATACAAGCTTATATATATTTATATATATATAAGAATTGCTTTGCTAAGGATGGCTTGTCTTTCATTCCCATTTTCCCCTCCCTGGTCCTTTTATTTTACCATATGCACAATTGTAGGACAAAGGCACAACCTCGTGGACTACTACAATTATTATTTTGTCCAAGAAAGTTAATTTCACTAATGCATAATTTTTATGATATTTACTTAAGGGTTGGGCTTATGGATTTATGGGGCCTATTATGGATCTCGTTTTAATAATTTAAATCATTCATTCTGTAGGATACTCTATGTATATCATCCATAAAAATAAAAATTAAGTCGATCCGTAACATTTTTAATTTTGTTGTATTTTTCTTCAAAAATTGAATGGTCTATTTTTTAAATGATCATTCATTTTTTTAAAGATACACGCGATAAAAGAAAAATATTATGGTTATCAAATAAACCTAATTTTTTTTCGTGGAAAATATACACAGAGGTCCTTATAAAATAAATAGTTCAAATCATCAAAACGGACTCATGGTAGGCTTGATGCCTCTCAAATTCTCTCAAGTTGAGAATTTTTTATTTTTTATTTTTATTGAGATTTGAATATGAAAGAAGTCAAATCCTTTACTTTCTCTATTTAACCTTTTAGTTGAATATTAAAATTATATAAATTTTGTACCATGTTAAATAAACGTTAGACTAAAAAAATAATTTATTTTAATCTTGATTTAGAGCATCTCTACTCAAATTATGAATTTTGAGGTGGCACTTTTAAAACTAAAATGTGATATTGTTGTGATCCTTTCGAACGTGCAAAACTGTGTTGCCAATTAATATCTTAATACTAAAATTTGGCATAGCAAAAAAAACAGATGTCAAATATTTTAATTTGCATTATTTTAATAGTGAGGACTTATAAAAGATATTAAAAAATAAATAGTTTTGAAGTAAAAATAATAACCATTATAACAATCCATAAAAATTTTTGTACAAATAACATGAATATTTTCATCTCAGTTTTACTTCTTGACATATGAAAGTTTATAAATTTATTTAAATTGTAAGAGAAATGATGTTAGAATATCTCTAATGATGTCCCAAATCTTTGATCCAAAGACAATTTTAATTATACCCTCATAAAATGTATAATAAAATAAAATAAAAATAAAAACTCCAATTTTCTGCCAAATCTTCGAATTAAAATTTGTTAATGTCAAATTTGTCACTTCAATAGTGACGATCATGATCATTAGATTTTTTTTTTTATTTTTTTAGCATCACCTCCCCTACCATTACCATTAGTACTAATATAACTATTAATGTATCAGTATTAATTTTGCAATGTTAACATATTTTGTCTGTTTGTATGTTATATATGAAAGCGATTGTAATAAAAATGTACAATATTTTGAAGATTCCTTATCATGTGTCTTTGGAGATATATTAACAAGACCCTTTAAGTAAATCTTATGTATTTGTAATTTACCCTTGATTTTTTTGAAATTATAATTTTGATTTTTAAGGTAATTTTTTTTTAATGAAAAAAATTAATGGAATGGTTATTTTGTAGAGGTTAAAAAATAATAATTCCATTTAATTTTATCTAATTCAATAACATTTCACCTTCATATGGATTATCCCTTATAATTTTGAAAATTACAAATATTTTTTTGTCATAAATTTTTTTTAACATAATTAACAAAAAATAAATAAATAAATAAATCCTAATGACTCTCCTATACAACGATAAAATTACTTGAATTTTTAATTTAAAACATATTTATGATATTATTAAAAATTGTTAATTAACTTAATAATTTATTAACCAAATGAATCTTCTATTATGTAATTAAAAACTTAAAGGGGTGAGATATAATTTTTATAATTACAAAAAACTAATTATATTTTAAATAAATCTCATAAAATATATTTTTGAATTTACTTAAAATTCAAATGTTATGTGTAAATAACCCATGCCTTGCGCAGACATAATTTACTAGTATATATAAAATCATGCATATACAAGCTCATATGATTGCATTCTAAGAAGGCAGCTTGAATAATTGAATTATTTTGTTTAGTGCACCATAATTAAAAAGCATTCTCTCATGTGGGCCACCAGCACAATTCACAAAGAAACCCTAAAAAAGTGAAAAAAGAACATCTCAACCCAACACAGTTCAGGACATGAAGCCCAAGCTTTTTTCTTATTTATTTATTTATTTTTGGAGTGAATAACATGTATTTACATGAAGTTTGGAGAGGTTAATTACATGAGTTCTATGTAATATTGGAGAAAATAAATAATGTGTCAATAATATACAAAATATGATTGATTTAAATATGTGAACTTTATATTTAAAAAGTGTAATGATCTCATCTAAAATGATGTATTACTCGCACACTCAGAGTGTGAATAAAATCAGAGTCAATGCTGGACAGCATCTTTTATACATAACAATATTTTTCAAAATTTTGCAATGACCAGGGACTTTATTAGTTTTTTTGTTTGTTTTTTTTCTTTTCTTCTTTTTTTTTTCTATTAGTTGCGATGCAAGCAGGTCTTTCCGTATGTGATTAGTTGGGTAGTTTTGCATTTTGTTTGGGGTACAATTTCACTGTACCAAACTTTATATAAGAAAAATTTTGATAGCCCACAATAATAATACATAAATACGAGATAAACATAAAATTAGAATATAAAAAAATGCATAGAAAATGTATTTTGTGATCAAATTCATCCTAGATGTGGTGTGAACCACATTTAAAATAAATCTAAACCATAGTTCTAATTCTGTTCACCTAACATTTCTAATAACTATATCTCATAACCCATGACTCGAACTCTAGGGCTTCACTATTTGCACTAATCACATATGCATTGGATCACCACCACAATGGAGGAGCACCCAATAATTACTTCTTCATGGATACATAGAGAACTCCAAATAGGTAAAAATAATACGGGGAAATTACTTGTAGATAAGTTCATTAAGTGAAAATTTCTTCTTTATTCTTCATATTGGGAATTTATTTACAAATTGATTAAAAACATGGACAAAAACATCTTTCCGTCCACAAAATCAATTCAATTCTTACCTTTGTTGCTACTTCCATTCAAACAAAGATGAAAAGCAGACGAGAGAATGAGCACCAATGGCATGATGTAAGTCACCGTTCATCCAATCAAACAATTTGTCAAAGTATGTCATAATATGACATTGAGATTCATACTCCTAAACTCAATGCAGTCACAAAATTAATAGATCTTCAATGATTTCTGGGAAAAGTGAAAACTTTTGACCAATTTATAAATATCAATAAATTCCTAATGTGAAGATCTAGTAGAAATTTACAGTTACTGATTTGATTTCTGAACAGTTTCTTATGTACTACCTCAATTGTCATGATCCCCCCAAAACATCACAACTAGTTCATTTTAGGCTGCAATAATCAGTTTGGTTGGAATCCCAACATTGAAGTTCCTAAAGTAGCATGCAGCTGTTCTTCTCTCAACATATAACCAACATTAGATCCATTGAGCAGAGCAATGTGGAAGGGCAAAATTTAGGTCTAAAGATTAAAGGATACAATTCAATTTCAAATTTCTCACGTTCGAAGGAAAAAAAAAAAAAAAAGGTACAATTCAATTTGACAGAGATTTCAGGGGTTGGGAACTTCAGGACAGATATTGGAGCAACCAAGTACATTGTTATTTTAACTCTCAAATGATTGAGATATTATTGGCGACTATAAATCGTCAAGGCAAAAGTAACCAGGAGTTACTGCAGTGGAAATTCCAAACACAAGCAACCATCCAAATATCATATCTCAATCCAGATGTGTTTACTAAAATGTCCAAATTTCAAACACAAAAATCATTTTCCAAAATATTTAGAGCAAGTAGCAGAACTGCAAGAAAGCTTTCTTTATATGAATAACCAATCCATTTTCAAATATAGTTGTTTGTCTTCCGAAAACATGAAGAAGTTAAACAATCAAACAAAGAACCACCACAAAACCTACCAAGATGGAGAGAAAAATAAAAAGGAAAGAGCACATCTCTACATCAACAACTGTTTGCTACAAACATCTAGTTTAGTTTGCATTTTCTGAAACTATCACCTATTCATGCATGCCACTGCAGTCTGTCCTCGACTATTACTTTCCACCATCAGTGGACTCTGGCTGTGCTTTAACAATACTTAACTGTCCACCTTCCTTATTAGCAACAGTCGCAGCTTTTACTTCATTGCAATGGTTTATGAACTTGCTCAGCTCCTGATCATAAGAAAAACAAAAAACATCAGCACCATAGATGACGAAAATCTAAAAGCTCTGTTGAGATGAATTTGCCTTCTTGAACTATAAAGCATAAATAAAATGATTCAGACATAATTTTAATACATAAAACCCATCCATAATGATATGGAGTGACATTTTCTCTTGAAATGAATGGACTACAAAAGGTCACATCATTTTGTAAGGTATTTTAGAACAAAAATTCTGTTTGTATAGTATTTACCCAAAGCATAATACAACAATGCCTTCAAACAAATTGTAGTGTTCATCATTGAATTATTTCCAAACCAACACAAGATGTAAAAAATTTGGAAGGACACATCTAACAGCCATCGGCTATATATATATATATATAATCAGTTTGCTAACGAAAAAAGCTGAATAAGTGTACAACCGGATCGATATTTGAACACCACCGTGAGAAGGTGGTGATGGGACTGTTTCAACCTAAGAGATAAAACAAACTTCAATTCACAAAATTGAAGCTATAATTAAAATAAAAACCACCAACATGTGGCAGACTTTGAGGCCAAGAAAAAAAAAAAAAAACACAACTTCAATTCATACAATCGATGATATAAAATCCCAATTCAAAGATTATCATGCAAATCATGTGACTGGTGCTCAAACAAAGAAAGCCAAGTGTAGACATCCCATTTTGACCGGCCCTAAGACTTTGGCACTTTTTTTTAGTCACCTGATGATGAAACCGGAACGCATGACTTGGATATCTCCAGCAAAATCCATGATTGAAATGAAAGCGGATTCAAACCTTACACCCATTTTGGTCAAAACTATTTTTAGACCTTTAAAACCATTTTCAAAATGTTTTTAGACTTGAAAAATCCAATCATTCTATGATGTCCAAGCTCACTTTTCAATCACAACAATATACTTTTCGGTAACCGAGCAAAGGCACAGCAGAAATGAGTGGAAAGGAGGAGAATCCTTTGGAAATACCATGTTTGCACCATTTGGGCTTTTCGTACAAAAATTGTTTTTCCAGACAACTTTCTTATTTGGCCCACACTTCTTTTTTTGTTTAGCCAGACAATTTGTGTACGGCCAGACAATTTTTGCGACAAACATAGCAGTTTCTAGAAGATGGTCCCCCATGCAACCTCTTCCGCAATTTACGAAAAATTGTGCCCCAAGGTAGCACCTCCCCCAACCTCTTAGCCTATAAAAACCCCCCTGAGATCATTGAATTAGAGGACCCTTGACCCTTGAACCCTTGGAAGATTGAATTATTGAAGAAACCCAAAAAAACTATTCAATTTTTCTCTCTATACTTAAAAACATATACATACACCATTGAAGCTATCATCAATGGAGATTTTTGCTAGAGATTCAAGTTCAATTTCAAAAGCTTGAGGGTGATTAGAAAAAGAATTGCAAACCAAAGAGCCCTTCCTCCTTTAGAGGTAATCTCTTGAAACTTTCTCATCACTTTCTTTTCTCTCTTGCCAAACACACTTATAATTCTGAATTTTATTTGATTATAATGTGATTGGGCTTTGTGGATAGTGGAGGGGATTAGCCACCCCATCATAGGAATTGTTGAATTGCTTGAATTCTAGTTGTTCTTTCATTTTCTCTCTCATTTTCTCACCTCCCAAACACTCTATTTTTTGAGTTTTTCTTACTTATTTAGATTAGATATGGACTTGTATAGAGGGTTCTAGTCCCACCCTACGTTTTATTTCATAATTCTCTTGTCTGCTTTCATTTTCTTTTGTTTTCTCTCACTTTCTCACCATCCAAACAAGTTTAACTTTCATAATTCAATCCTTGTTCACACATTAATGAACTATTGTGATTGTTTTGTGAGGTTAATTGGATGATCCATGGGTTCAATTGGGAGATTAGAGAGCTTTCTATTTTCGTTTTCTTTCATTTCTCCCACTTTCTCTAATTTTCTCTCTACTTTCTTGGAAACCAAACACGGCTTCCACCTAGAAATGATTTATAATCTACTCTCTCCATCCACTCTTAACATGGATTTGGGTATCCATTTACTCTTTTTCATGAGGAGATTTTGGTTCTTACTCATTTCTTTGATTTGCTTTCTTGTTTAATTTCCATTTTATTTGATTTTCTTCTATGATCAATCATGGATCTTCCATATTTTTGATGATTATAGAAAACTACCATCTTGTCTATTCCATAATGAGAATGATGGGGTTTAGCTTGTTTAGATTCTTTTATTCTTCTATACTTGATTGCTTCTATAATTATCATGTAGTGTTTTGTATTGCTTGAAGACTTTTGAAGCTAATATACCTCTTCCTTGATTATCTTCATGATAGGAAGAGTAGATTTTATTTTCTTCATCATTTGCTACTCTTTCTCTCATCCGTTGGTGATTGAGATTGAGTTTCAGATTCTTTATCATGTTCATTATGAAGCTTCCATGGCTTAGATGGGTTCAATTCTCTCATTATTCATGATGATTGAGGATAAATTCATCATGTCTAGCTTCTAATGGCATTTCTAAGAGGATTAGTGCTTCTCCCTTGCATTTCTATGTTAGAGAAACACCTTGGCTATTTTCTTATTCCTTTTTCTTAGCTTCTTCTTGATAGCTTCTCCATTTTCATTTGGTAGCCTTGGTTAATATAGTTACCTTCCATTATTCTTGTCATTTTGCTTCCTTTTAGTATAGATGCTTGTATGTTCATCCCTCTCTCTCTCTCTCTCTCTCTATCCCTTTTATTTGGAGCTTTCCATGTTTTGGCTTCATATTTTCATTATCCATCATTTTACCATGCTTTGCATCAATTTTTCTGTTAAAATTGATTGACATATATTGTTGTACATATTACAATTACAAGGATTCCTATTATATAGGAGTGTGTTTGGGAGTAGGTGGAGAGTAGGTGAAGTGGGTGGAGTAGGTGTAGTGGTAGGTTTTGGTACATTTTAACAGCCCCCCGCAAACTCAAGGGAGATAGGAACTAACCAACTTGAGTTTGGAGAGACTAACAAAACAAGAAAATAGACGAATACTGTAAACAATATTGAAGTATATTATTGATTGATGTATTACAAGATTGATTAATTACAATTCCTATACAATCTATATATAGAAGAAAATGTGGTAGTAGGTGTAGTGGAGGTGATAGTGGGTTAGGTGAAGTGGAGTGTGTGGTGAAGTGGAGGGTGCTTCTCCCTTGCATTTCAATGTTAAAGAAACACCTTGGCTATTTTCTTATTCCTTTTTCTTAGCTTCTCCATTGTCATTAGGTAGCCTTGGTTAATAAAGTTAGCTTCTATTATTCTTGTCATTTTGCTTCCTTTTAGTATAGATGCTTGTATGTTCATCCCTCTCTCTCTCTCTATCCCTTTTATTTGGAGCTTTCCATGTTTTGGCTTCATATTTTCATTATCCATCATTTTTCCATGCTTTGCATCAATTTTTCATACATAGGGCTTGGCTCTATAATGTATCATTTCTTTATCTTTTATGTGAATATGTGCGCTACCCCGTGTTTTGAGATGGTTCATATTTCACATGCTAGTAACCAAGTCTTTAGTTACATTCTAGTGTGTATATTGCATTAGTTTTTTTTCATCTAGGATCATGCATAGTTTTCTAACCCTTTTCCCTTGGCTTGGGACGGATGAGTACTAGGTGAGCGTCTTTCATCTTTGCATCCTGTTTGTGCATGTTTTACTTACCACGTCTAGCATTCTACCATGTGGCTATTTGCTTATTTGATATATCTCTTTGGATGCTAGCGGATGAAGGTTATTTTGCTTAAGTTGGGATGGTTTTAATTTCTATGCATGTGAACTCATCTTTTCTTTGAGTTGCACATTTTCAAACTCTTTTTCAAAACGCATGAGATCAAAGCATTCCGAAGTAAGTAATTTAGTCTATATTTGTTTGTTCACATAGTAATTTTAGCATTAATAATCAGAATATGGGCATATATTACTAATGAATCTCATATCTAGAATTAGTATAGGCCGATCTTTGACCGGGTGAGTGGAGAAGGTGCTCAATTCATTACTTTTTCCCCTCATACCTAAGTTCTCAAGCAGAGACACTTTGGTTGTGACAGACAGTGACCTTTAGCATGAGTCATGGATTTCCTAATTTTCCCAAAAAGATTAGGTGGCGGAAATCCCACACCAAGGTTAATGAAGGATGCTTGCCCTAGAATGTTCACTAGAGCCACAAAATTGAGTATGGAAAATGAAAAGAAACCAACAAAAAGAAAATGAATACAAAATTAGAAAAAGAAGAAAAAAGGGAATGAAGAATCAAATCCTGTCACAATAAATTGAAATTAGTTGATAGGAAATGAACAATCAAAAAATCATTTAAGAATAATAAAAAATTCAAACAATTAAACTTTATTTAAATGAAGAATTATTTGAGAATAATAAAATAATCAATTAATTTGTTATGTATGACACCTAAAATCTATTTCTCCATCTTTATTTATATCATTTAAATTATTTTTATTAAATGAACCTTCATTAATGGTTGAATTTTTATTTCTATTTTTACTTTATTACACTTTTCTGGAGATAAACTTTGTTGGAGATGGAGTTGAATTGGTTTTGATATATATAGATGAGCAGAAGACACCTAAGGGCATTGTTGGCATTTCAGGATTTATATTTGATGACATTAGCAGCTTCTGTTACTTTTGGTAACTACAGCCACAAATTGGAGAAATCTTGATATTATCAGCAAAAGTATGAGAGGTTTTTGTAATTATTAAAACTACAGGGTAGGTCCATGTATTTTCCAAAACCCTCAGGGGAGGTAAGTGTAATTTACCCTATTTTATAATATATACCCACAGCTAAGAGACCATTTCCTATATCTACCTTCTCCAAGAGAAAATATATCAATGTGAGGTTGACGAACTTGAGTTAAAATCGGAAACAGTCTGTAGGCAACAAAGAAAGTCGAGAGAAAACTCAAAACTAAAATAAATATAAAAAAAAAAAACAAAGCAGGAGAGAAAAAAACACGCAGCATTATCAATAAAAGAAAAGGGAACAAATAAAAAAGCAAAAGAGAATGAAGAAAAATACATGAAGTTGTCGGAAGAGAAAAAAGGAACAAGAGAGAGGAAGAAAGAATTGTATGTTGCATTATCAGATGAAAGGAAAGCAGAATTTTACTAAAGAAAAAAAGGGAATCCTATGTGCTAAGGAAAATGTGTAGGAGTGATGACCTACAAGGTAAGAGCTTCTACAGTGGATAGGTAAAAAGGCTGCTAACTATAACTATTTTTTAGCATGAAGACCAAGTTTTTGATCTACAATGGTTAGGCAAAGGACCTCTATATTTTACCAATAGTTATATTCTACCAAAAGAGCTGGTACAAAATTTAGCTATAACTAAACTTGCCAGCACAAAAGCATTCATCTTCCCATTCATCCCCGTCAACAAAAATTCAAAAAAATCCCAAAATTATCAAACATCAAACAGTTGAAAATATTTGAGAAATAAGTTCACGCATCAACAATAAATCCATGAAAATGAACATTGAATATTCAAAAAAGAAAAAGAACGCGAAAAATATGATTTATCTGAACTTCACTCAGGGTAAGAATCTAACTCTGTATTGAATTTTCCAGCTTCAATTTGTTGCAGCCCAGATTTGGCTTTTAATCTGAATCATATTCTCCCATAAAAGAGCCACCAAAGACCCAGATCTAAGCCTGGTTCGGTCACTCCGACGGCGAAGTTTGGCACCACTACCTCGAACAGTCGGTGAGCATCAATACCCCAAAGAGCCACCGAGAAATACCTACATATTTGAATGGTTTTAACGATTTTATCAAAAATTTGTTGCATGTTTTTCACGATTTTGACTTTTGATCCATGCCAAGATTTCCAACCTACATACAAAGTATGTCAAGTTCATCATTCGGTGTTCGTCACCATATGTGAGAGAGAGAGAGAGAATTCGTTGGATGAGTTCTGCTCCAGTGACAGAAATAGAGAAGAAAAAAATTTGTGGACCATAAAATTTCAAGAAAAACGAAAATATATATACATATATACACACATATATATGTGGCTAACTTCTTTCTAGCTATGAAGCACGGGGTACTTCAAAAATATTACCATACAAGTACTGGGTACTTACTGGGTGCGGGTATGCGTACTGGGATGACTGCACGCGTATCCGGTTCGCCGTATACGGTTGGGTATGCCATGGGTACATGGTGCATACTCAATGGGTGCGGGGTGGGTACTGTGGGTACTCCATGGGTACTCCACAATAGTATATATTGCTAATTGGTATCAATTCAACCTCTTATTGAGCTTCTGTCAATCCAATTGCTCCAAAAAAACTCTTCTACCACTTGTTCTACATCATGCCTAATCAAAACAAAAAGACAGAATCGTTTAAGCATCTAAACTCTCTATGAAGTCTGAAAACTACTTGACAATCATGACCACCTCTGCAACAACCCAGTTCTACAAAAGACTCAATAAAAAAGTACTTTTGAACATAAAAAGATAATGTTCCACACCATCAAAAGAAATGCCTATTCCACTCTACCAAAATACACCAAATCAAATGTAAGGAAGTTGTCCACCACAACTTTCCCCCTCTTTTTCCCACATTCTCTTTACTCCAACTATACAAAATCTCCACCACGCTCCTTAGGAAGACCCATTGTACTCCAAATAAACACAAAATCAACACCCATAAATCCACAGCTACCTTGTAATAAACGGGAAGGTGTTTAACCAACTCTAAATCTTATTTTGCCATGCAACACTGATTAACTACAATATTAACATCAAGACAAGTTATCCAAAGTTGCAATTTGTCATCCATCACTATCCCCAAAAAAAATGCAACCTTAGAAGGGGATTCTACAGCCTAGAATTTCAATTTTTTCTAATCTAGAAAAACTCCATCTCATTTCATCCTCTCCAAACCCCATAGCAATCAAACCATAAAATTAAATAACTCTTCAAATTCCCTACCTCAATCTTGCAAAGCTCTCCTACATGTTACATCCCAAAACACCTAATTATACTTGAGTCGAAGATAATCCACCACCACCACCATAACATTTCTATCCATTGGAGTCGTGGAAGGTCCTTTTCGATCATCCTATGATTCCTTGATTATGGGAGGACAAAGGGACCACCTTCCTAGGAAGATTAATTGGAAGTTGGGTGTACCAACCATGTTGGTATTCTTTGTATGGACAGCAACTTTGGACTCCATTATCACCGATGATAATTTGATTAAAAAAAAATGCTTCAGGATGTCTAGTAGATGTTGCATTTGCTGCAAGGCAGAAGAGACAAAGGATCATCTATTGCTAAGGAATTATTGTTCTATTGCTAAGGAATTACAAGATTATTACTTTCCATCTTTGGGTAATGCACAAGATTTGATGGAATGTTGGGGTTATGGTTGTAGGTGGAAGAGTAAGAAGAAAGCTTGAATGAATGCTCCATTACGTGTTATGTGGTGCTTTTGGAGGGAAAGAAATAGACACACATGAAAATTCAAAGACAGGGATTCAAAAGGCATAAGGTGAGTCTTGTGCATCCTATTCATTTTATGTTTGAAGGATTTTTTTTTTTAATCTCTTTTCTTATTCTCTTTTCTTATAGATTTCTTAGTTGAGCTCGATTTTTGTATTGAGCTTTTTTTGTACAAAGGGTGTGCACCCTTTCTTCTCACAATTTTTGCATTGAGCTTTTTTGTACAAAGGGCGTGCTCCCTTTTGTGCATACTTATCTTTCAAAAAAAAATTATGGCCATCGAACATGATAACTTATTATCACTGTGATTCCTCTCCACCGTTTTATCTGATATATCTATCTTCATGACTTCAATGTGCCATTCTCCAAGCTACTAAAGTCAGTCATGGATTCAAAGACGCATATCTAGAAAATAAGGAAAACCAAGCTAATTGTGATGATGACATAGTAATAACCAAATTCATCTTGTCAACAATAGCTTACAAAAGGCTTATGTGGTTCTATTAATTCATACCCAAAAGAGATACAGAGAAAACAGGAATGTAAGGGTTTAATATATATGTATATATATAAGAATACAAGGCTAAACATAGCCATACATCTGTCTTCTATCTGAGTGCAAGTCCAATGAAAAGACGTTGCACATCCATGACAATGCTCACAAGTATCTATAATAAGATTATGAATGATTTTGCATAACACGTCACCATAAAACACTGTTTCGGTTTTGATTCAGAACAATTTTTCAAGACAAACAAGATCAAACATGTTGAAACCAAACAATAAATCCAAAACAAGGGTATAACAGAAACAACTGACAACAACATTAAAATCAATGAATTTCCCTATTCAGAGAAAAGAACTTCAGACATTTGAGCTACTACAGAACATCACAAAACATGAATTTCAATCAAGAAACAATCTTGAAATGCACTGAAACCAGTGATATTAACACTGAATAAGAAGTAAAAATTACAAAAAGAGGGAGAACTTACACGATCAGCATCCATCTCCTTTGTGACCTTCAAAGGCTTCACGAACCTCTTACCTGCAATTCCAATTCAACAACTAGGACATCATTAAATGGGTATATATTTATATAAATCAATAAACATATACAAATATATGTGTACAGGGAGAGAATGTATTGGGTATTGGGTATTGGTTATTGGGTTTGGATTAAATGTGTAACCTTTACGAGTGTGAGGGATTTTCCCATGACGACTAGGAGGAATCGATTTCTTCTTCTGTTGGCCTTTGAACATTTTATCTTTCTGCGTCATATTTCTATCTAGAGTTTTGCGTTCTAGGGTTTCTGACGAATGTAACTGGTATCTAATCGAGTCTAGGATGTGTATATATATATACCAGCAGCCGGACAACACTACGAGTGTGCGAACTCATTTCGAGTTATAATATGAAGTTCATATTTTCTTTTTTTATTTTTTTTCTAATAATGCACAAATAAATCATATGCATAATTATGCACATTAAAACATTTAATATTAATTTATTTGATAAATTAAATAGATGTACATTAAAATATGTATAAATATTTTAAAAAATACAATATTTACTAATTTCAACTAAAAAATTGTACAACAAAAATTCATATAAAATCTCAATTTGATAACTTGAGACCTACAAATCCTACAAAAAATATATAAGATACATGTAAAAATTAGTTTGCTAACAATGTACATTGATTAAATTAAAATTTTACGTTCTTATAATGCATATAATTTTGGGGAATTTTTTTTAAGCTCCCTAATAATAATAATTTAGAGAATAACGGATACCCAAAAAAATAGTGATGCATCAGGTCCTGAACAACTTGGCGCGCGTTTTTAATTATTTTGTGGACCAAAATACCCTTGCCAAAATCAACACAGAAACGAAACTCAATCCGACGTCTGAGTTCCATTCCAAGCAACTAGCATCTTCACGAACAGGAGAACAGCATAATTAGGGTTTCAACATCATTTTCACCATCGACATTAGAGTTTCGTTATCTTTTGCAAAAATCATTCCATTCCTTCCTCACAAATTTCTCTGACCTTCGTTAGAGCTTCGTTTTCACAGCTCATCGTCATCTCAGTCCATTTTCGTCACGTCGCATCTTCATCTCAGGCCATATCAGCTCATCATTCAAGTTTCATCCTAACTCTGGTAAGTTTTTCTACAATACAACTAGATTTTCTCTGGAAACACAGTTAATAGCATTTTATATTAACCTTTCATAAATTAGGGTTTCAATTTCGTAATAAAAAGCTACCTGAATTTGGAAAAAAAATTATTTCTATAGCGACCCCGGTCTTTTCTCTTTAGATTATTGTATCCGGACTTAGGTTTCGTGGATCCTGTCATCATTTATTGGTTGTTGTTGTCCTTTAATCTCTTTGTATTTGAAGTATAGATTGTGTTGGGCGGGTCTGATACAGGTTGGTTGAATTTAGATGCCAATAGGTGATGCCCAGATTTTGGCCTTCACGCTCGAGCGGAAGTTTTAACGCTCGAGCGGGCCCTTCGTTGTTGCTTCTACGCTCGAGCGGGAGTTTTTACGCTCGAGCGTGATTTTCCATCTCCCAGTACTTTAATCTACAGATCGTCCGCTCGAGCGGTAGTTTTTACGCTCGAGCGTGATCCCTTGTTTTTGTTCCTCCGCTCGAGCGGAGAGTTTGACGCTCGAGCGGGTGTCATCGCCTGCAGAACTTCTGGAAGTGTGCAATCGACGCTCGAGCGGCTTTCTTCACACTCGAGCGTGAGTCTGTGTCTTACGCTCGAGCGGGGATTTCTACGCTCGAGCGTAGAGTCGACTACATCAGTCCGTGATTTCACTTTTTGAATCACTTTTTGACCTACTTTTTCCTTCTTAACTTTTAAAAACCGCCCCTTGAGGGTTTCTTTCTCTTTCTCTCTCTCTCTCTCTAAACTTGTCTTCTCTCTTAGAATTGATCTACCTAGGGTGAGTATCTAACCTAGGTTTTTTATTAAAAAGTTAGAGTGAGTTGAGGGCTTCGTTTTAATCTGAGAAACTTGGGATTTGGAGCACGTTGGTCTTTGGTCTTCATCTCCATCTTCTCCATACGGGTTATTTTCTTCGAGGTAGGGATTTCCTACTCCATTTTATACGCTTTGTTCTAAGTTTTGGCATTTTGATAGGTTGGGGACACTTTGGAAATTTATGGGAAAAACCCTAGTTGTATTAATAAATTAATTTGTACAATTAATTTAAGAAAATTGGGAAAATTGGGAAAATGCATAAAATTGAGGAATTTATTGATTAAATGGTGTAGTTGGATAATTAAAATCACTCGCCTGTTGAATTGTTGATATATTTATTTCCAGTCTAGAAATAACTGTTTTGGGCTATCGGTGGAGGATAGTCGTGTTTGTTGTAGACATTGCATGTGGATTAGGAAAAATTGAAACTAATCAATTTGTTTTAAGTCATAATTTTAGACTATTGAATTAATACAGAATATACTTGTATTGTTTGAGCATTGCATATGCATATTGTTTGGGAGGAGATAGGGGATGTACTCCACGGTTTAGGGGAAGATAGGGGATGGACCTCTAAACCGGATTTTTGTTTGGGAGGAGATAAGGGATGGACTCCATTAGCATCACTATTATGTGTGCTTATTATATTGAAGTGTTTTTACATGATTATTGATACAGCACTAAAATGTGTATCAAACGGGAAGTATGAAGTGTTGTGATATGAGCCTGAGTCTCATTTGTTTTGTTGGTATTGGAAGTAATGTGCTTATGATATATAGATCATTGTTGTAAGTTTGGCCAGGTTCTGAGCCACATTGATAATAATGGAAAGTGAAACGTGTCATTGACATTAGTGTCATGAAACTGTATTAATTCATAACTGATTATCTTAGTTAACCATCTATTGAATGCTGTAGCTTTATCCAATGCTTATGTCTGGTTTAGTATTTTTCTACTGAGCTGTGGCTCACCCTTTATGGGAACATCATTTTCAGGTTCAGGTGATAAGCTACCTCCAAGGACTTAGCCTGGAAGGATTTGATGTTTGGGATTTTGAAGACTTGTCTTTAGTTATTTGTTTTATTTTGTTATTTTTGAGATTACATGTAAACATTCAAGCCTAGGGCTTAACTTGTAAATGAGTTAGTACTCATCCTTTTCGTGTCCAAGTGTTAGCTTGGAAAGATGTAAGCCCTTAGGGTATTTATTTTGATGTTGCAGGATGTTGCATGTGATGTCTTTTAATAAGAATACTCTGATGAATAACTTATATGATTCGTTTTCTTTTATAAATGCATGTTAATGTTATGGTTATTATGGGTTTATTTTGAGGGCGTGACAATTTCTATGTGTTTTAGAAATAATTTCTCTGACCTTCGTTAGAGCTTCGTTTTCACTGCTCATCGCCATCTCAGTCCATCTTCGTCACGTCGCATCTTTATCTCAGGCCATATCAGCTCATCATTCAAGTTTCATCCTAACTCTGGTAAGTTTTTCTACAATACAACTAGATTTTCTCTGAAAACACAGTTAATAGCATTTTATATTAACCTTTCATAAATTAGGGTTTCAATTTCGTAATAAAAAGCTACTTGAATTTGGAAAAAATTATTTCTACGTGTTTTAAACTTATTCTTGAACATGTTTGTGTGATTTTATCTGTAAATTTCTCTGGCATTTGAATTTCTCTGATTTTTGTTTGATGTACGTTTCTTCTTTCAATTTTCTCTGGCATGTTTGTTTTGAAAAAAGTAATTTTCTGTGTTTTTATCTTATTCTTGAACATGTTTCTGTAATTTTGTTTATAAATTTTCCTGCTCTGTAAATTTCTCTGTAATATACATTTTTAATTAGAATGTCTATCTTTTTCTGGAATGTATATTACTCTCTTGCATCTGTCTAAGTTTCTCTGGTATTTATAATTTTCTCTGACCACATCACATCACTTTCCTCCCTTGTTTGTCTCTATCATGTTTAATTTTCTCTGAAATTTTAATATTATGGACTGGAATGAATGTTTCTTCTTTGAATTTTCTCTGACATGTGTATTTTGAGAAAAAGTTATTTCTCTGTATTTTGATCTTATTCTTGAACATGTTTCTGTGATTTTGTCTATAAATTTCTCTGCTTTGTAAATTTCTTTGGAATATGTATTTTTCTCTTGAATGTCTATTACTCTCTTGCCTGTCTAAGTTTCTCTGGTATTTATAATTTTCTCTGACCACATCACACCACTTTCCTCCCTTGTGTGTCTCTATCATGGTTAATTTTCTCTGGTTGCGTCTGTAAATTTCTTCGGTATTTTAATATTACGAATTGAAATTTTCTCTGGAATGAAAATTTCCTCAAGAATGTGTAATTTTCTCCGTAATGTGTATTTTTCTCTAGTATGTTTATTTTGTTCAATTCTTGGTTTCAATGTGGTATAATTTTCAGTGGCATGTTTACATTACTTTGTTTATTTTATCTTGCTAATTGTGGAATGAAAATTTTCTTTGGCTTGCCATGTTTACTTTTTTCTGTCATTCATTTTCTCTGGTATGTTCACTTCTATATATAATTTTAACAATTATTGAAAATTTCTCTCCCATGTTTATGATGCTTTGTTGATTTTCTCCAACATTTAATTTTTAATTTTCAATTTTTTCTGGCATGTCCAATTTTATGTAATTTTCCCTTATCTGTAATTTTATCTGACATCTCCAATTTTCTCTTATCTGTAATTTTCTCCCTTATCTGTAATTTTCTCTGACATGTCCAATTTTCTCTGGCATGTTCAATTTTCTCTAGGATTTAATGTTGACATCTTTATGTTTTAATCATTGTCTAGAAATGGCAAAACGTAAAAGCAACGAAACACCAGAAACACCAAGCAAAAAACAGAAACTCTCTCAGTCTTCTTATGGGCTAAGATCAAAAACCAGCAGCAAAACACTGGAAACACCAAGCAAGAAAGAATAACTCTCTCAGTCTTTTTATGATCTAAGATCAAAAACCAGCAGCAAAACACCACAAACTCCTCGCCAAAACACACAAGTCCAAGGTGATGAAGCAACTAGCATCTAGATGAGTACCCCAACTTCAAAAGACTCAAGCTCAAGGGGGAAAAAACTTGTTAAACTCCACAGAAAAAGAGATCACTACACCATTCAATTCCGATCCAACCTCTCATCTGTTGTCTCCTTTTTTCAAACACTTAAATTCAATTCAAAACAACTTGTAGAGCTTCAAAAGACCCCATTCTGGTATTTGATTCAAGCTCTAACAACTGGAAGGCTGGATCCAAAGAAATCTAGGAAATCCGATGATGATGTAGTTGCCATAATCCAATGTTACAATGAAAAAACAAAAG